CCCCCCCCCGCTCCGGTTTTAATAAAAGTACCAGCATGAAGTACTAACCAATTGTAAAAAACAATGAGCAGGTTCTCTCGGTAAATTCTTCACAGACTCGAATGTTTCATCGCTAAATCTAAATTGCCAAAATTCATCGTTTTTTGCATCTCTGCAGTAAGACGCTAGAAGTACAATAAATAAAAGTTAGAAAATAGCAGTTCTTTATTCCAACACATACAGTGTAGGAGCTCGTCAATGTGTCCGCAAACGCTTTACGGGTTCGCGCGGAAAGGGAAATGGAAAATTATCCAAGAGGTTTTTTAGAAGTCCCGACTGGAAAGAATATGAATGCCAGTTATAATATTATGACTGGGTGTATAAAAAAAACTTATCCAAATTTATTAATCTTGCGCGCTCAATATTAAGTGTTCATATTAATAAATATTATAGGATTTTAGCTTTTGTATCATTCCAAATGATAATGACCGGCCGAAATTAAAAATTGCCGGTCGAAATTACTTTTTTTTCAAGAAAAAGCAATTAATTACTATTCACTTATGTTTCTTGCCAAACAATACGCTTAAACAGAATTTGGGGCTTTGTAAAATAAAATTCATGATTTTTGGATCCATGTGCATGCAAATAGTTTATTTTCAATAATTGGAAAATGCGCTTTTATTTGAATCATATTTGCATGATCATTTCCCGACAGCTAAAATCCTGAGTTTTGTCGCTATGTATGTAAAAATATCGATAAACTACATATATCTAACAGTAACGCACGCGAACATGCTAAAGTTAGACAGCGCGTATAGAATTATAAAATACATACCAATCGTTCTATCATCATTTTTTTCGTTTTTAATTTTGATTTCATTCAAAAAGATATTTTTAACAGCATTTTCGTCTATAACTTTATCTAAAGATATTGAAAAGAGGTATATAACATTTAATAGGAGTTCAACTCTTTCCAACAAGAGCCATACTTATATTCTTAATCCTCCATCTTATCTCTCGCAAAAGTGGATTACGTTTGATTTGCTTTGCTCAAACGAACGTAAATCATTTCATTTTTTATATCCTACAATTCAATACATGCACACAACAAATAACATGAGTGATGTTTAGCAGCCTACCACAATACACACTTCCGGAAAGTACGTCACTTTGTATATAGAGCCTAGTTTTCGTAATTCAGACGTTGGGCTAATCATAGTCAATAGAATAAGGTTAACTAGATGCAAACATAATAGATCTCATTATCTATGTTTTTGTCTTGGTTTATGTAAGAACTGGTCGGTTCATCGTTTTTCCTGTTTTCATCAACATTGTTACAGGCTAGGCGTTTTTTTGCAGTGTATGATGTAGCGTTTTACACAGGCGGCCACGAGATCACTTCATGTAAACATTTTATATAGCGTCTGGGGAAAGGTAGGGAATTTAAACGAAAAAAAATTTAACATAAATAATTTTACTTCCTATAGGCTATATGCTACAATACATACAAACAAACAACAAAGGTGATGCTCAGAGATACCGTAAAGAATAGTATAAAGACAATGTCAAAATTGAACTCACCGCGAAGGAGTGTTTTCGCTTCTGTCGTTAAATTTCGGACATTCGAATTCTCTGAGTTTTCTGCATTGTTAGGTATTCTGTCTATTTTATCCCATAATTCTTTTGTGAATTCAATTGTCTTGTCACCTACAAATTTGCATACCATAAGAAAATTTATTTTATAAAAGGGCCCACTTACGTCGGAAGCTTTGAAGTTTCTGTCCTCGCGCATGTCGGATTACGCATGTTGGCCGCCATTTTCCTAGCCAGTCAATGACATTTTCTGGCCAATAAACACGCTGTACTGGCTGGCTGCTCCGCCTTCTGGCCAGTAAACTGCAAACGAGGACACGTTGCACCGCTGAGTGGCCCTTCTGTTACTGATCTTTATTCTGTGCAGCTAGTGTTATTTTTGATTTCCTGCAATTTGATTGGCTAGGCGAGCGAGCGGCTTTTTAGGTTATAGATTCATGTCAATATTTTTGCATAAAAAAACGAG